CCCCCCCCCCCCCCCCCACGTTACGTGTCACTCGACGTGTCAATGTACTTGTACGGATTGCTTTGCAAAATGTGTATATACTCATCACCTGTAACTTCGTCACTGTTTTCGTGGAGCGTCCGCACCTCGTCCGTGTTGGCCACCTTTATACGGGTCGAAAGCAAGTGTTTACCGCAGGGGTATCAATTCTTGATGTGACGATACAGACAGCTTCAATTTATTCCGTACGGATATTCTGTTGTTGACACCATGCGGGGCTACCATTCCTGTGAAAGTCCTCTACCACGGGTATGCGTACATTTTCCTTTTGACATGTCTAACAGATCATCGGTCTACATGATATCTGCTTACTTGCTTTTCCGTCCCCATCCTACCGACAATGTGTTCTTGGGAAATATTGGCAGATAATCCAGAAGGCGAAAACCTCCGATAGATCAGTCCACGAGAGGCCCTTTGGTTGGTGCACAATGTTCGGCCTACACGCGCTCAATGGTCGAGTGCGTCCCAGCACCGTTTCAGTAAGGCAACGAAGCTCTACAGATCAGATCAGCACAATATGGGTGTGCTACTTCTTGGCTTGCCTGCTTTGGGGCTTGCCTCCGCGGGGGCACATACGTGGTTATCTCATCAGCCGATAGACAAAAATCGCAGAGTTGTTGTTGTTAGCCGAATTTCATGCCGCCACACGTTGCTGGGAGAAGCGCAAGACTAGGCAACCACCTCATGAACATATTTGGAACAGTTCTCGGTGGAGGATTACTCTGCAGGAGGGGTGGCTTAGAGGTATGAGTGGAGTCAGAGGCGGAGGGGCATCAGGCATATACTCGTACAAATCATGGAGTCGAATGGAGGGAAGTCCTTCGGAGACGTTATGGAACAGGATGACCCATTGCGGGGAAGGGTGTTGAAATACAGGGGGGAAAGCCTTGGTGCGTTGATAAGAGCAAGGCTGTGGACCTGTCTTTGTCATGGCACGGTGTCGGAAGACTTTTTGGAGGTTGCGCGATGCGAGCAGAAGGTGGGGGTGCGGGTGCGGGACGTTTTTATGAACACCTTTAGGCTCCAGAGCCGTTACTCGCGCGTCCGGAAACTGGGGAACATCTAGCTCTGATTCGAACTCGTTGTTACTCAAAACGACTGTGTGATACGAAAGTACCACCATTTTGTTGATAAAGTTGTCTGCAGTGAGCAAGCATAGGTAACTAACGCCCGCTGGTTGAGTGGTAGGTGCGCTTCCTTGACGTTTTTAGCGTGCGAGTATTATTGTTCTCTCCTAGTCTTCTCCGCTGAATATTGTGTTGGATATTTACATCTCATCGTACGTGCGAAAACCATAGGTACACAGCGATACGAACAATGTCGCTCTCACCTTCGTATCAAGACACGCAGTAGTTCAGGCGTGCATTCTGTGTTTGATATGCTGCTGGACAAGCAGAGTGCTTTTGAGAGGAGAAGTCTATTCGGTTATCCGTTTTGGTTTAATCATTTTCTAGAAAACCTTTCCTTCTGGTGAACATTGACTTTTGTTCTTGACATACGTATGTTCAGCAGCTGGCATTCTGGGTATCACAGCTTGCTGCACGTAAGTACGTCGCTAGAGTTGCTTGTTGCCGGCGAGTAGTAGATGCATAGCATGTGAATGGTCAAAAGTATGTTGAATAGTCTACGTTTTGTATACCCACGAGACGACGTCAGTCGGAGCATTGCCTGTCACGTTATCTGATTGGTTGAAACTTTGGGATATAAGTTCAAGTGTATTTCCGTCGATATGTTTTGCTTGGATGGTGCAGCCCCCGCGCAGCCCCCATCATCTCACTCTGTTTTTCTTCCGGTCTCTCCTACTAAAAAACTACGTTTCCTCAACATCTTTTTTTCCACCTTGGAACTCTCCGTCCTCGTGCAAGAGCCCGCCGGCACAACCCTCTCACGGAGGTTGATTACCACGAGCAGTGTAAGCCGTGTCGCAACGTACCACGTGCGGATACGCTGTGCTCGTTGGTGGTAGACTGTAAGATCGCATCAGGTGCGTTGCGAACGTACCTCGGATGTCACTCACATCAGACTATCTCATCTCATACGCATGAGCTGCAGACAGAGATTTGAATCTTCCTCTTTCCACACGCTTGTCAAGCCCGTGCTACAGGTCATCGAAGTACGCGGTTGTGGTTAACTTGAAGCCTCACACCATTCCTCAATTCCCGATATATTGCTGGGCAAGGAGTGAGTACAAGAGCACCCGCTGGCAACATGTGTTTTTGGGCGCTAACCAATATTGATGAAGACGCGCACGCTCTTAACCCTTTCGTGACTACACCCCCGAATCGTGCATGTTAGCAGGCACGATAACCCTTATATGCGACAACTTTCGAACCGAATTGAGCTGTGGATACCTGCGTCGACGACGGCTCGACGGTACGACTAGACCGCTCGAAAAGAAACAAAGTAACGACCGGGGACAGAAACAGCCTCCCAGAACTGAGCGATGTCCTCTGGGTCCATGGTGGTGATGTTGGTACTGCTGTACTGCTGTTGTTGCTGCTGTTGTGCTGACAGGCTGTGGCGGAGTGACAGAGTGTCAAAAAGAGACACCCGCCCCCGTGCCTTCGCGTTTTTGAGAGGGTTTTCGTGACTACAGGCACGATAGGAGGCATGATAAAACCTGTCTTTATCTGGTACGATAACCCACGCTCTCGCTGTTGAGCTGTGTGCCTTCTTCCTTGCCTTCGGAATGTGGTTGCAGAACTGAAGGCCAAGCTTACGAGGCCTCTCCCCGAGTTCTCCTGCGCGAGTGTGTGTGTTCGAGTGTATTCCTTGTCCGTCTTCAACCAACCGCCACCACAAGGCATAGTTTATCTCTCGCGCGGCTCGTGCTTGCTGCTGCTGCTGCGGCGGGCTGCTGCTGCTGCTGCTGGTGCTTTTTCATTTCGCTTCGCATGCATGCATCCAACAAACAAACCGCGTGCGTGTGTGCTTCTTGTCTCCGCTGGATTTACCACCCAACCAAGTGGCATTGGAGGCGGTGCCATGCCTTGCGCCAGTGTGCTGCATCGGCGGCGGGGTAGAACTGCTGTGCATGCGATGTATCTCTACTGCTGCTGCTGTATCCATGTAGACTATCACCATGTAATCGTGTTTGGGGTAAAGAAATACGGCGCCCTCTCCTCTCTCTCTCCTCCGGTTTCCGACAGCACCTACATACAGCAGTACAGCAGTCAGTGTAGTTATCGGTCACTCATCACATTCTTCACGTGAGGGTTACGCTGCTGTTGGGCACTAAACCTTTGTGGCACCATGGGGTGCGTGCGGTTGACCCGTGTGGGAACCTGTTGGTGCGCAAACAAACGTGCAAACGTTCAAGTGCGGGTGTCGTGTGTGTGTGTCTCATGACTCATCGGTCTATTCGGTCCCGGCAGAACAAAAAAAAACCGCGGAAGATCCAGAAAGAACCCAGTCACGAAAGGGTTAAAGTAGCTGCAGCGCCACAGCGAAGAGAGAGGCGAGAACAGGCGGGCGGAAGACTACATGAGGCTTGGGTTTGCATCTTGTTGGTAGCAGCGGCGCACCCGTCTCGTACTGTCACGGCGTTAGGGTTACTGCATGTGAAGAAAAACCAAAGGCCAGAAGGCGGCCGTCCTAGACTAAATGGGATGGGTGACTCGAAGTTGGTGCTATCTGAACACCCATGGAATATAGAATGCCTACTGATAGCGGATGTATGACGTATAAAGAACGTAGCTTTTCGTCTCCGTTTGCACGAGATTGGAGACGCGTGTGCAAGAGGATGTTCTCGCGCCACGATGGGTGGAGACAGGGTGAAATATGGGTCATCGTTTTCCTCTTGATGTGGAAACCTAGGGTGTTCTCATTGACACCCCCAAAAAAAGGACACGCAAGAAGCCAGAGAGAGCAGACAACAGCACCCGAAGCCGAAAACGTAGTGGATGCGGGAGCATTCCTGAAACATGTGGCCCGCTACCGTTGCCGTCGAACCATGTGTTGGCCTTCACTCAACGATGTCACTGCGCTTGACCTGGTGTGTGTCCATAACGTGTGCCCGTGGAAAAATTTCACAAGGCACTGTTACGAACCCCTCTTGTCGAGCCCACAACCTCTGCGGGGATACATTACATCGCCCCGACATCCAACTTCTACTCCGGCAATCATGAAAGAACCAGATCCTCATAGGGCCCCAAGCACGAACACTCTACCGAGAGCGAAATGTTACCGTTTCTTGTGACTTCCGTTGAAGGAGCGACCAGTGCTTCCGGCATAGGTTGTGATTCCGTACCCACCAAAATACGATATACAATCTACAAGTGTGGCAGAGCGCAGTATACAAGTGTGGCGTAGTACAACGCATTAGTTGTGAACGTGTGAACCCATGGACATCCGACCAGCGCTTGCTCATGTAGTATGTCAGTGGTGCACTAGGCGGTCGCCGTCATCGTGAAGGAGTCAATGTTGAAGCCCTTGGAGACCACACACAGCCAAATTTTGGCATGTCCATAGGAAAGACCACCTGTTCCTTTGTTTGAGCTGGTGGCGACGATTGACAATCAGTTTGATAGGGGCAGCGATCGGAACAGGTTTGTCAGTGAGATGTATGCGCCAAAACAACTACTTGTATGAGATTTTTTTCGACTGCTGCGACAAAATGTCTGCGGGAACAAACCTGCGCTTCTTTCCACGGGGTCTGATATCTGCGGCCATCCGACGATCCAAGCTTTGCAGGGCCACAGATGGGCACGCTCTGTTGCCACGTTGGACACAGACCTAACACCCACGCCTCCTAAACAGCGTTGCTGCCTTAAACGTAGTAACAAGCACAGAGTACATAATCATTGACGGAAGCGCAGGGCACAAGACAAACTAGCGCTTCCACATTCCACACGTCAAAATCTCACACGGATAAGCTTGCGAAGCTTCCCCATCCTCCGGTAGAAGGCACCGTCACGAGGCCGCTAAGGTCTGTTGTGAAATCGTCGCACCCCGTGCCGCCTGTTACCACGTGGAAGGATCCAGAGTTGTGATAGGCAGGTGGAGCCGCCACCTGAAATCTAAAGTCGAACGCCGAGGCTAACCGTAGCCGGCGAAGGCATGGGGACGAACGGACGGTGCCGCGCAGTGAGGAGGTTGGCAAAACTACTTCACGTTGCCTTGCCTTCGAGATACAGTTGCGTCCAAGAGGTAGTTTCCGTCGGGGTTGCTCCTGTTGTCATTGTGCCCCTAAGAAATATGATGTTCAGTGCAAGCAGTTGAGTTTTGTTTTTTCCCCTCCTCCATTCGGTCGATCGACTGCACATTCGCCCTTTCCAAAATTTTCGGAAGGACTCAGATTGCCAGCGATTGCTGCTACATGAACGATTGGACAGGTTGGAACCACTCACGGGAAGAGCAAACTGAGAACCAGGCTCTAAGTAACCTCACCAGCTTCCTCGACGGTGACTGTGTAGCGCAGGAATTCACCGGGTCTTGTCCACCCGACGTTGTAAGCATTTTGGCTCTCCATCGCTGAGATGTCAACACCTTCTTCCAATCGGTACGCCTGCTAGTCGGTCGGGATATTTTGAAAGTGTTGGTGGGTAGAGTACCGGAAAACGACTGTAGCACGCAGTGAATCCAGTGTGTTCTCGTCGAGCGTTCGAAAAGCCAACGTTGTCGAACGACGGGGATGTCTTCCTCGGCGGAAGAAAGGAAGGAGTGGTTGAGAAATCACGCGCTGAGCGGAGATTAGGTATAGTCGGTTGCAACGGTAAAAAACAATCTTCGTCACCGACACTGCTGCTATCAGATGAACGGACCGGTACCTCGTCTGGAAAATCTTTCGTGATGTACATGAGCAGTATGAGGGCTCCGGACATTGTGATCTTGGCCCCGTTAACGGCCATATAACTAACTTAAAACAAGAAACGCTTCAGCCAAAATCCAGCATGATTCGAAACATGAATTCGTTCCGTTGATTTGAGATACCAAGGTTTACTAATGGCACAACAACAACACCTTACCCCTCCGTTATTGGGTGTATCCGTATCCGAGTACCCAACCCCCTCTCCGCCGCTGTCAAAATCTTCTGCCTGAATAGTGCCCGGAATAACCGCAGGAATGCCACCAAACGCCTCTTCTTCGTGTGACGGGCTCGGTGTTGGGGGAAGTACTGCCTCCATGGTGAAGGAGTCCAAGTTAAAATGCGACGAGACTATGCACAGCCAAAGGGTAGCGCGCCCTACACCCAAGCCGTTGTTGCCTCCTCCAGATCTGTGAAAGTTCATAGGCAAAGGCCGGCGACGCGCGAAAGGAGCCATGCTCTGCTTTGGTGTTCCACGTACGGAGGATGGCAGAATGTGAGAGGCTTCGTTCTTCACCGTTAGTGTACGATAGCGAGGTCCAGCAATGATGCACGGCACGATCGCAAAACCCGAGGAGGGACAAGCACAAGGTACGAGGAATCTCCTGCTGCTCGTCACAGGGAGCATGCTATTGCGAGTAGAAACCATATTGGCAGGCCCAGGAGATGTGGCAATTCAGGAGAACATTGGGGTCTTTATCATGGTGCCTGCTTGACACAAACGTTTTTTCTAACAGATAACACGCGATGTCGTCAGCAAGCAGCTGTAATAGTAAATAAACATGCACGCTATTTCTCGGCAACCGTTATAACCACCCACAAAAAAACAACGACTATCGAAGCACGCCACCAAGTAATAGTGACTCACACAGGCAACGACGCAAAGGTCCCCCATCCTCCGGTGGACGGCACCACTACGAGGCCGCTGAGATCGCTTGTGTAGTCATCGCACCCGGTTCCACCAGTGACTACACGGAAGGATCCAGAGTCGTGATACGAGGGGATAGTCGCCACCTGAAAGGTGAAGTCGAACGCCGAGGCTGGACGGACGCGGCGGAGAGAAAGGGATAAACAGTATGCGCAGGGACGGGTGGGGGAGGAGGACGTGGAACGAGAGGGGCGCGGAGTGGCCTCGAAACTCGTTCACCATGAGACCCTCACTCTTGTGCTACATGTAGGTGCCCCCCGATAGATTCTTGCAGTAGGTAAACGAGGAGAGAAGTGGTTAACAGGATTCGGCTGCAAGTTGGTCGGTTGAAATACCTCTCATGTAAGAAGCAAGTCTCCTTGTACAATGTACGCAAAGAAGGATGCGGTAGGCGATTCCCTGGGGTCCGTGATTCCTGTTCCGCTGCCCGGCAGCACCCAAGAGGCCTGGTCGAGCGAGATAGCAAAGAAAGCCCCTTCACACGAAACATCGGAGCTGCTTTGCTTCTCACCGGCTTTCTCGACGTTCACCGTGTATCGCAGGAACTCGGTCGCCCTGATCCACGCAACGTGGTAGTCATCGTGACCCCCGGAGATGTCAACATCCTCGTTCGGTCGGAAAACCTTAAAACAATTTTGCAGAGCCCGGCGGAATCGGTTGTTTCATAGAAAAACGAAGCGCTGTCGCGTTGTTCATGGGCACTCATTCCAGGTACAAGCCGAGGGGAAAACTGCAGACCGAAGTCCATCGAAACATTTTGCTGATTTGAAATAGCGTGGCCCTAACAACAATGATCAAAATGCTGAGTGTCGCGCCTAGCAGCTAGGCCGGACACCTTCCAAGTCAGGGGTGCCTTTTGCTTACATTGTCTTTCCATTAATCACAGCAAGACGTGACCTGCCTTCTTATCGTGTATGTCCCGCATAAGACAACTACTGTAGGATGGGACCAAAATATGTCTTTCGTTAATGACGCGTGCCAACCCACCACAATTTGAGGCCACCAGTTGCCGAACCTTGAGCCCCAACGTTCGGTCGGAAGCCGGTTGCTGGACTCACGGCAAACACCCAAATGTAGCACCTGAACATACGGAAGTCGTCAACAAAAAAAACAAACCAAATCATACGACACCGCGCTCTACCCCAACCAGCCGTATAGCGTTGCACCAGCTGACTCACTCCTCCACTGTTGCCCGGAGTAGTGTCCGAATAGGACACCCCCTCTCCACCATGGTCAAACTTCTCCGCCTGGACCATCCCGGGGATGACGGCGGGGATACCCCCGTACGCGCTAGATGCCGGTGCCGCCCACGGAGAAGACGAAGGGGCTGTCGGGGAAGGCGTAGGTGTGGGAGTTGGGGGCGCCGGGGCGGGCGAGTCTCCGCCTTCGTTTGGAGGGCCGAACCGGTACAAACAATTGCGGAGAGGGTATGTTAGTGGTGCAATCCATCTATATGTAGTTCCGATCAAACGAAACATCCTGTACTTGAATGAATGGCTCAAGTCCCGTGGTATCACGAATAACTTTGGGACCGCAGGTAGATCGGGAGCGGGTATTCGGACCCGTCGCCGGTAGTATTGCGATGGACGAACGATTGATGGTACACTGTTGATAGGCGCTCATGTCACTACTGTTTCCCTCATGGTGGGCCAAACATTCATCGTACTTGCAGATGTTTGCTTCAGACAAGAACAAATAGATGAAGTTGACACAGATTTTTGTGGACGCAACAGTTTCTCGCATGGTCGTCACACCTGCGTTTATCTTGTGATCACCGGCCACGCGCCTGGCCCGTGGTCGCACAACCACGAGCACTGAACAGCAACGTGACTCGGAACAACAACACTTGCAGAGGGCAGGGGCTTTCAGATCACTCACCGTCCATGTAGCATGGGGCTTCCCGAGTGACCGAGCAGAGACGACCAGAGGCGGTGATCCGGTTTTGGCAGCAGTCTTCGCCGGTGAGCCCGCTCTGCTCTTGCTTGCTGCAATTCGAACCTCCGCATTGCCGGCACCCCGAAGAGCAGCAAAAATTGTTTCTTTCGACCCCGTCGCACGTGAAGGCTCCGGCGGTTGCTGTTGGGACTGGCATCACCGGGGTGGGCGTTGGGGTAGGAACCGCTGGAACAGGCGTCGGCGTTGGTTGCGGAGCTTCATCGAGCTTCGCCTAGTAGTTGGTGGGGTGAGAGAGCGAGCGGCCCGAAAGTGATTGTTAAGTTTCGCTGCACGAGCTGGTGAGTGCCAGGGTGAAATCGACCATGGTCGACAATGCAGCCAAATGATGGCGACCATTTGCTCAAGGGCACCGCAGGCGTCGCCCCACAGGCCAACAGATATTCGCAAGCACAGACAAAACCTACGGACATCGACTCCAAGTACAGAGTTTTACACAGCGGCAAAAAGAAAACGAATCAACGTACGTCACTGTGCGCGCAGAAAGTGGCACAGTCGGGCCGCGTCGCAGCCCAGTAAAGAGCCCAGGCCCGTTGGAGGCCATCGTCCACGCCGCTCGTGCTGCCGCATTCGGTAAATTAGACATCCAGAGACCGTGAGAGAGGTGGCAGCTGGTGAAAAACAGGGCGCGTGGATGGGAATGGTACCACACTGGTAGTCAAATGACTTCGTAGGGGCAAGGAGGCCGTGCTGACTCGCGGCAACACGCGTGAAGACTACACACAAAGGGAGACTTCGAAGTGACGCAAAATACTAGACTCACATAATCTCCTTGAAGGCCAAGTGCTTCTCTATCGTCGCGTAGCTCATGTACAGCACGGTGTTCCATGAGCCTTCTGCGCCTCCCACGACCGATTTCAGTCGCTGTCATAACAATAGGCAATTCCGGCAGCAACGACGAGAGCGTGCTCGTTTTCTCATCGCGAACGATGTTTCAGGTTGGTGTGTCACGATCTTCGAGAACAAATCACGCCCCCTTATCAGTCAGGAGCACAAACGGTTGTGTAATAACTTCGATTCCACATATCCCTTTCTGTGTCTTGAAAAGAAAGGTATGCTAACACGTTTACTTTGGCCTGCATACGCCAAATATCAGAGTGTTTGATAGCCCAGATGGAACTGAATTTGTTTTTGCATTGAGGGACAATCCCGTGTAACGAGTGAAGCCTTCAGTCTTTGACCTTTGCTCTCCAGTATGCAAGTGCACAGGGTTAAGGTATTGGAGCGGCGGCGAGGGAACGCAAATACTCAGTACAGACCGCAACTCCGTGGATCGCACCTGGTTCCATTCCTCGCTGACAAACTGGGGATCGCGAACGTACTCAGTGATCGCCGTAACGGGGATGTTCTACCGACGGATCCATCAAGGAAAGCCATCCGCAGGGAGGGGTTAGGAAAAGGCAGCAACGAGCAGCAGAGGGATGCGAGCAGCACGCGAGATTGTCAGTCGCAAAGAGGACGCGTAGGGAGCGCCTTTGATGCTCCACCATCTATCCACACGTCCCCGGATTGAAGCTTTTCGGCGTATGCCGAACACGCAAACAAGCTAGTGAGGGTGAGGTTGAGCCTCTCACAAGTTTGGTCATGACAAAGCAAGAAGAACAACCGAACCCGACTGTAAGGGCACAAATGGAAAAAACAAGAACGCAGCCCTACAGACCAGCCTGGCTTGGTGAGAGTTCAGTCTCTGCATATCTTACCCCCTCGAACGCCCTGGAGCGATTTTGTGCGTCTGTGCTTCGTGCCAGCGTTTAAACGACGAAAGCCAGAGAAAAAAATGAAAAAATGCGGTCGTCCCGTTGCCTCGAAATATCGCTATTCACCTGAATTCCATGAATGTACTCCACGTTTGCCCCGAACCAGGTGGTGTAGTCCACCTTGCTTTCGAAAAATATCCCTGTCACCTGTTGTTGATTCCAGCGTTACATTTTTTTGTAAGCATGTCTGTCGTTCTAGATCCAGTGTTGCCAACTGCGATAATCTTTTTACATGGACGGCCGCCTCCACGTGCAACACTGACACTGCTTGTGAAATTGTGTTTCGTGATAACGTTACATATTTCTTCAATATGCAGCAACTTTGGGCGAAGCACGCCACATATGCTTTGCAGGAACGCGTTTTCGATTGGCGCAGCTAGGCGATAGCCCAGGTTTCGTGCAACAATGCCCGAGATCAACTAAGTAATGGTAAACCATTCCAAAGGCAAAAGGCCACACTTTTAAAAAACCACCGCATTACTTTAGGACAGAACGCCGTTGAAATCCCACCCGTCAGTTGCACGCATCGCGTGCACGCTCACGACTTGTGAAATGCCCACTGGGTCACCTTGTTCTTGACGAAGTCCGCAGGGTGGTTGGTGTTGCTGTCCTTCAGCAGGAAGTACTCGTTAATCGATCGTTTCACGACGCCCGTCTGCAGCCGGCCCAGCCCCTCCAGCGCTGTGTTTCCCGTTGCGATCGCCCACATGGTCATGGCGTAGAAGAAGTTAACGTCCTCCGAAGTTGATTCCTGCAGGAATTGACGAGGGGAGTAAGGTTCAAGGTAATCATCTCAAGGAATTGGAACCGGGAATGTGGACACGTCCGACAACTTCGACGTTTCATCGACGTCATTCCGTGAGACATGTATTTGACCACCGGACTAGCGCCGTACCGTTATATTTTGCAACTACTTTTCTCGCTCGTCGTCTGCATGGAGGCAGATACGTGGAGAACGACACCCTCTGTACTTGTTTACACCGTCCAAACCGTTGCACACGGCGTCCCTGATTCGTATGTGGTTGTTTCGTCCTCGCCCACACCTCTCACATACGAAAGCCGGCGATTTAACACGAATTGCCCAATGCCAAGGCGGAATGTTTTGCATGCTATCTACACCCGAGGCATGGCTGTTCAACACAGTTGTCATCGCATAGGGCGATGTGAGGTTTCTGGCCTGGTTAACAAGAGGAGAATTCCTAGCAGAACAAGCCGAAACAAGATACACCGCAAACAGAACCACGAGGCAAATAGATTTGACAAAAAAACACGGTGCTGGTTCAAGTGCACATAGCACAACAGCCAGCTTGTTCTACAAACAGAACGTGGTGGTCGGTGAGGCTTCAAGCAGTAATTTCCTACCGAGAACGACCACAGGAGCTCAAAGAACTTCATCTCTATCAACGACAACATCACCTGGTCCTTCCCGTCGAAGGCGAACAGGAGCCCCCTAGCCCAACTATGGCCGCTGAACCAGTCAAACGAACGGAACTGCGGGAAGAACGCGTCGTACTGACGACAGCCACAAGCGCCAGAAAACGACATGAAAGAGGGGCCACAAGCAACGAACGATGAACAGGCGCCAGCAGCAATCGAAAGAGACAGTTAATGAGTTGACACAGCAGACATATTGTAGGGAGCAATGGCACGAGGCGGCAAAGAAGGCGCGTACTGAGCTTCCCTTTGGCGAAAGAGTGTGGCCTACAATCCTCAGACTTCGCCTGTGGAAAATAAGCGCCCCGTTGACCATTTTTCCCCTCGGAAATCCCTCCCCAACCCATCCATTTTTTACCCTCAACGAGAAACATTGCCGAGGACCAGCATGCACACCGTCCGTTGCTGTGGCGACGCACCGAGAGCATGAAATATGTGTTTCATCAAGCCCAGCGGTAGGCGCTGAAATCCTGCCCAAACGGCTTGTCGTCACCGCTCCGCAATAACCCATTTTCAAAATACCAGCGAAACCGGCGCTTCTCCACCCAATTCGTCTCCTCAGGGCAGTCACCTTGTTTGGGTCGTTCACATCCCGGATGAGTGTGTTGACCCATGCAATGTTGTCGCTAGTGGCCCACGACGGTCGGAGATGGGCTAAAACTGCCGCAGCGTTGACGACATACGAGTAGTGAAAGTGCTGCGTTTTGAGATGAGGGCGGGGGGCGGGTGGAGGGTGGGGGCACTTGAGAAACCTGAAAAGTTGAGGTTGCGGCTTTGCGCGACAAACACAACGAAGGGGGCTACTGAGCTGCAGAGTACCGGCAGGAGACGGTGGTGCTCGACGAAATTGCTGGTCCTCGTTTGACCCGGACCTGGGTGAAGCGGCAAATTGAGTGGGTTTGTCTAGGCCAACGATAATGGGGGTGGTAGAAGCTATATTTACCACGGAGAAATGGAAGTTGCGCCTTGCACGATACAAGCAATTGTGTATCGAACTCGAAAACCAACTTCTGTATCCAGGCTCGGCGCTTGCAAAGCACGCGGAAGCTCGGCCTGTGGCCGTAGCCCGTACCTGCGTTGGTGGGTAGTACCATCTAGGGAAACGATAGCTGTGGTTGCACTACAGCAACCTTGGAACAAGGTTTACGCTCGCGTTGTTGCTCTCTCACGTGATCGTTGTAGTACGATGCGTAGAAGTCAGCGGCCCTGCTGTCATCTTCCAGCCCAAGCACTCCGATGACGCCACCCCAAATCTGCGAAACACCACACCGACAATATGCGTCGTTGTACTGTCGTCACGCATTTGTTGGAGGGTCCATCACCGGAGGGACGGGGGTGCTTACAGGATGGTAGGTGCTGGCATTCGTCTTTCACATGGCTTCACCTTATCGTAGACCAGGGGGTTGCCATTGGAGTGCATCAGGTACACGTCGAATCCCGCCTCCACCTGGTCCATGCAAGGCCCCACTAGATCATCCCTGGTATAGTAATAGATAAAGAGATATTCACGGGGTATATACGTAAAGGGTATCGAAGAGGCGGTGAGGAAGCTCTTGTCAAAGCCCACTCAGCGCAGCAAGCCTGGAACAGCTCGTCAATGACACGGGAATTGGGGCGTGTGTGAGTATTGCTGGAAGTAGAACGTGCAGGCTCAAAACAAGCAGAGGGTCCTATCCTCTGTGCCCCAAACAAACTCCAAACTAGGTGCCCTTGCCTTGAGCACGAGGTTACCGCACTAAATGTCATCAATGGCCGAGAACGCACCACAACACTGAACTAAGTTACATAAGATGTGCCGAAACGAAGGAAAACCCTATCTGGCATTCGTGCACTCGTCGTCGACGTTGCGGTTGACCTCTCAACGAGTTCGCCCTCCGCTTACGACAACCGGCACCTCCCAAGTACTTGGGATTCCTGGATTGGAAATAGGTACTCGGGACAACGCTTT